TGAGTGACCGATATTCAGTTAATTTTAACTTCCAGAAGCCCTAAAGCTTTCAGTCTAAGGTCCCAACTAAATGACAATGAAAGATCCATCATTCCTGTTTAGAAGACTAATCCTGGTGCCCTGGCTAAATTCCACTCTCTGTACTTTGTGATGAAAGCCTTCATAAAAATGCCAGCAATTACAAAAACTAATTTTAATATTTGAATATTTTTTGATCTTAAGAAGTGAAATGAAGTCAACATGTGTTACATCAGGATGTATTTCTCGTATTAAAGTATTAAGTTTGGGGGAAGCTCCGGATTCACGCTCTCCTGAACAGTTGTTGATTATTGTGCTGCTGCTTTATCTCTCAGGCACGAAGCAGTGGTGGTTTGGAGGCGGCACTGACCTGACGCCTGTGTATCTTGACAAGGAAGATGCAGTACATTTTCACAACACCCTGAAGGAGGCCTGTGACAAACACAACTCAAAGCACTATCCAGACTTCAAGAAATGGTATACAAAGCTAGATGTGAATACTTTTTTCCTTTGTGTAGTCTTGTCTTCTCATGAGGTCCAAAGCATTTTAGAAATGCTTTTGTTTCCAAAACATCAATGAGTGAGTGAGCATTTACCAGAAAACTGGCACTAAGTAGGACAAACCTAAACTTTTTTGTGCTATTGTTTTAAGTAGTTGGAGATTTTTGTATCCTTATTTCTGAAACATGTATTAGACCACATCAAACTTAATGGTCCCTTGAAATTGCATTAAATGATCAAATCAAACAATTCATTTTTGGCACAGACTGTTTTTTGACCTGTCAATCTTGAGTGAACTAAAAGACAAATGTGATTTAGTCCTGTATACATAGTATTTCAGATATGCAATACACAAATAAACTACATATATAAGTTAAATAAACTACATATTATTAGTTTAGTGAAGGAGCTGTGATACAAATGAAGGTGTATTTGTTCATTGTAATGAAAATCAAAGGGGATTGAATAGTTTTGTGTCCCTACGTGAGAGATTAAAATATAGCTTATTGGCTGAAACATTGAATATGTTGCAACCTTTTCTAACATTTATTTATGTTTTGATTAATGGTTTATTTATGTTTTCAGGGAAGGACCTGTCATTTTCTATTTAAAGCAATTACATATAAGCATTTCTTTACAGGAAGGAAAAGTATTTTGAAAGACTGAAACATTAACATACTAACGTGAAAGGTTAGATTTCGTCAGTTAGATTTCAGGGTTGAATATGTATTTCTCAGTCTCAGTGTAGGGATGATGTGGCTCCTCATGTTAAGATTGAGTTAACTATTCAATGTAGCCCCATACTCAATTGAGGCAGAGGTTGCAAAATAATGGTGATGTTGCAATGCTGAGCTCAGGGCAGTGAACACTGGCGGGGGGGAGCTGGATATCGGAACTGTTGAACCTTCCCCACTCGTTGAACCTTATCAGTCAATAAAATAGCAGTTCCCATGTGCAGTGTGTTGTAGACCTTAAATTAATTTGAGTTCACTCTGGGCTGTTTAAAGCATATAGGTGTGTACATTTGTGGCGCAGTTCCTAGAGATCGAGGGTGGTTAAGTGTGCTCTCTTAATTCTGTTGAGGCTTTTCACCAGCAGACTGTTAGACTGATACGAGGTGATGGCACAGTGTGGGCTGGCTGGGCTCTTTGGGTGTGACCCTGAAGCCTGTATCTGACTGATAAAGTGGAAAGTTAGAGTTTTTTATAAGATAACCTTTATGTTCTGTCTATACAGTTTTTTGGGTAGAAAGCTTCAGCCAGAAAGTAGCTGATCGATTATTGTGTCTTGGATGGTGTGGAGTGTCATTCTATCTGTTACAGCCAAGAACAACTAGTGGTTAAAGAAAGCTTAGAATCATATTCAGACTGAAGGTCAGTGCATTTCTAGTGAAAATGTGTCCAGTTGTGTCATGAGCCTGCAGAGATCAAGAGGGACTTAATTGTCCATAATGGCAAAACTGCCTTCACTGAAGTGGAATATAAAGGGTGAAAGTGTTCTTAAGTACTGTATTCCATCTCATTTAGTAGTTTTATTGATGGTATATCAATAAAAAAGTGAGACTTCTCATTGATTCTATTCGAATTTAAAACTCTAAAAATAAGATAAATATGAATCATTTTCTTATTTGTAATAGATAAAATATTTTTTTTCTTAATATTTCAAAGCCATTTTATTAGAGGCATTTTTAAAAAAATGAATCGTAAAACCTTTCCTCTTTCAATGGAGAAGGCTACCTACAACATAATAACTACTGTCATGGTTTGATAGAGGACAGTCGGCTGTCCTGCAACTTCAGTAAATGAATCGCATGTCTTGATGTGACAGGTTATAGAAGGTGGAGAAGGTTGTAGAAGTATGAATTATGTGATCTGTTCCCTGAAAAGTAATCTTATCTCCCTTTTCACAATGTATTATTCCGATGAAACTAGGGTTTACTCAAAACAACACGTTCCTGGACGCACCTTCACAGTGATCTATTTCCACATTCATCCAGCCTCATTGTGTAACTGCTGTCAGATATTACAGCTTTAATGATGAATGAGGCTTCAGAGCTGGTTTTTGGACATTCCTTTGCCTTATGCTGCAGGTGTGACGAATACTTCTTCATCAAGCACCGGGGGGAGACGAGAGGGATCGGGGGGATCTTCTTTGATGACCTGGACTCCCCCTCCCAGGAGGAGGTGTTTGCCTTCGTGAGGAGCTGTGCGAAGACCGTGGTGCCCTGCTACCTGCCCATCGTGCGGAAGCACCTGGGCGATACCTTCACCCCGGAGGAGAAGGGCTGGCAGCAGGTGCGCCGAGGCAGGTGAGAGGCCGGGGGAGGAGAGCAGCAGGCCGAGGACACAGCTGCTCCAGCCTCTCGTGCGCTTTTGCAGTTCTGAGCCCTGCAGTCTTCACTTCTGTTGGGTCCCATTACGTGAGACGCTTCTGTTCCGTTGGTTCTGCTTGGTATTTGCACACGTGGCATCGTTCTCTTGCATCTGGAGTAACTTTCTCCTGGCTGGATGTGAAACTCTCATCCGAAGACCCATAACGCCAAGCAAGGCAGCTGGTAGTGAGGCAGTGAGCCAGGTTATGATGACTCACTCTTCAACTAGGGAAGTCATTACATTATTTGGAATAGCTGAAAAAGTTCCCTTCGTGTTTGTAATTTGCATAGTTTAACAGTAATAGGGCAGTAATAGCAACATCTGCCAGCTGTTTTGTCTAACATCTAAACCTTGTCACGATAGGCCCTTTTGGAGGAAAACTTCCTTTTTCTCGGTACTTCAGTTGTTTCATTTTCTCCTAGTAACTGTAAACTTAAAAATAAGATGTTCCCTGAAACTCATAGTATTTTCACAGCATTTGGAATAATTGAAATATTACACTTGACATGTCTGCTTTGCATAATTCATCAGTAATAGGAAAGTAAAAGCAACATCTGACAACTCTTTCTTGTCTAACATGCAAATCCTTCTTGGGAAAGAAATGTCCTTTAATCAGTGCTTCACCTTCTCACTTTTTTCCTCTAAAGTGTAAATTAAAAAAAAAAAACAATTTCCCTCGAACCCTTTTCCACATGAACAAGTGACCACACCTGTGTGTTTTCTGCTGGCGTCTGGACGTCTACATGGCCCTGCCTGCACTGAAGTGCCCCAAGTCATTCTGCTGCAAAGGTGGCGTTGTAGAAAAAAACAAATGTAAAGGTTTTGGGTGTGTGGAATAAGCCCATCCAAC